TAATTTAAGAATTATATATATATATATATATATATATATATATATATATGTATGTATATGTGTGTGTATATAAACATGATAAAATGATACATAAAACAATACACATGCACACACACAAAAATGTGTTATTTTTAATGTTTTTATACTTTTTTGACATATATATTATAGTATATTATATTCATGCTCATAATATAAACATTAAAATTACTTGCATTCAAATTACAATTTAAAATATATATTCTCAGTTATTTTGCTATTTTTAAATGTATTTTTTTATATTTTCATACATTTTTTCTTCCACTTTGCATATATATATATTTCCTTTAGTTATCTCCAAAATGAATTTGGCGTAAAATGACTTTTGGCAGTCTGCCCAAATAATAACTCAAAAAAGAGATATTAAAATGTGTGGCTTTGTGCCAGCTTCATCCATCACACTTGAAAGTGAAGATCAATTTGAGTGCATTGCATTGTGGGATAGAGAACATTGCAGTTCGCTCTGCATTGACACTCATGCATTTGGCAGGCGCTTTTATCCACAGTGAATTGCGTTGCATTCAATGTATATATTTGATCAGTTTGATCATGCATTCCTTGGGAATTTGCACATACAATGCAGCAGATCAATGGAAACACACACTGCAGAAATGGAAGTGTGTTATAATGCAAAAACAACGACACACGCCTGCTGACCTGGACGACACCATAACAAATGAGAGTTCACTACTTGAGATGAAGCTGCTAGTTATCCAGACATAACGAGGCGGAGCCATGGATTCACGAGCGATTATGTGTGCGCGTTACGTAAGAGTCTTGCTCTCTTTTGTTTCCCGTGTGAGAACCTCAGGAGACTCTAATGGAAACCAGCTGTTGAGCTGATCGCATCCACAGCCGTCCTGTGCTCTGATTGGCTGAGGCTGGGCTGGCTGCGCTCTGATTGGCTGCTGCGGGAGCATTCCGCTCTCTGTGATTGGTCTCTGTCTTCATGCAAATGCAGTGGAGTGTTTGTTCAGGGTCAGTTTTAGTGCAGGACACTGCAAATCAAATCAGTCATCCAGAATACTGGAGCGTTCGCAGCTTTCTGTAGTGTCTTCAAAAGATTAGACAGATGAAAGTTAAAGGGAGAAAACAGGTTCAGAAAACCACCAATGTTTGCTTCTTACTTGACTTTATCAGACTGCTAAAGACGGATATTTTCATATTTATAGTAAGAAACAGTAATATTTTTTAAAGTTTGGGTCAGTCAGATTTTTTATTTTTACTTTTATTCATCAAGGCTGCATTAAATTGATCAAAAGTGTCAGTAAAGACATTTATAATGCTACAAAAGATTTCTATTTCAAATAAATGCTGTTCTTTTGTACTTTCTATTCATCTGTGAATCCTGAAAAATAAAACGTGTCACGGTTTCCACAAAAATATTGGGCAGCACTAGTGGTCGACCGATATATCGGCTGATATCTGCCATTTTTCAAATATCGGCATCGGCCGATAAGTTTTTCTGTTCGAGGTGGGACTTTTATTTTGATGGCGCCGAGAACGGCAGCCGCAGCGCCTGAGCACACAGTGCTCACATTCTCCCTCTTGTTCGCTGTCGTCATTCAGTTCTGTCTAACACGGATATAAGTCGGTCTAATAATCCGATAGCACTGTTAAACAAAGGAATTAAAATGTATACAAAAAAGTATTATAACGATTGCTTTAATATTATTAAAGGCAAACATTATAATACTTTCTCGTTTGCCGTCAGTATTCCGCAAATACACATTTATATAATTTTAACAAATCTTTGAATGACTAATGAACATTTAATTTAACAAACCTTGCAGACTTAGTCGAATCTAGTTGAGATCTTGTGAAATGTGCATGTGACTAGTGGTGGACCGATATTGTTTTTTTGACAGCCGATACCGATATCTTGGAAAGCGGGGTGGCCGATGGCCGATATAAAGCCAATACAATTGTATTTATTTTAATTTATATTTAAGAAATTTGAAATCATTTGAAAATGATAAAATAAATAAAAATAATTGTGTAAAATAAACGTACTTATACTCTAGAATACAAAGTATTTTTCACAAATAAATAAATATTTAATAAAAATATGATTAAAAAGGAAGTAAACACTGTAACCAACAGGGCACTCAGTATTCTGGGAAGTTTGTGTGCATTGGGAATC